AGATCGAGCCCCACGAAGACTCTGTGCAGAACATGAAGCCTGCTTAAGATTCTCTGTCTCCCTCTCCCTCTCTGCCCCTCTCCTACCCCAACTCGTGCCCATGCTCTCTTTCTGTCTCTCTCTAAAAAAAAAAAGTATCAAGGTCCTCAGTTTGGAAAATATTAAATAAATGTCTTAAACACTAAGAAGTAAAATAAAGTTGTCCTTTACAAAGGACATACTTTTTACTTCTTCTTTTTTTTTTTTTTTTAAAGTAGACTCCATGCCCAGTATGGAGCTCACAACCATGACATTGAGACCTGGGCTAAGATCAAGAGTCAAATGCTTAACCGACTGAGCCACCCAGGCACCCCACATGCTTTTTTACTTCTTAATCACTCTATTAAAATCTTAAAATTAGTAATTCCATATCAAGTATTAATATCAATCTTTATATGTCCCAGGGTTTTAAATACACTTGAAGAAGTGACCTTCTAGAATCCTCCTGTGCTCACTAAAAACTGGTCTACTGAGCCTCACACCTTGCCTTGTATCAACAAACATGAGAGAAAATGAGAAGGGGAGGTCCTGGAATGACCTGAAATCACTCATCTTCATTGTGTAGCTCAGTTCTTTTCTGCTCTAGGATGTTGTTTCCCCTTTTCACTCACAGGGTCAAAATTTAAGGCAGCTTGTAAGATGTGGGATACTGTGCTATTGAGAACTACAATTAGACCTTCACTGAAGAGAGTCAGGAGGCAAGGAGGGCCGGGATGGTGTGGTGACTCTATTCTGTCCTGCTGGTAGTCTGAGAAGTGAGAACTATGTACTTCTGTGGCTGTAGCAAGTTACTCGCTATGGGATCATTAACAGCCATGTGCATGAAGAAACAGAGACAATCTCAGTATCCAAGGAAAATCTCCCTATCATGCAGTCTGGGATTTCTATATCTTAGGTATCTCTGAGTCCACCATGACCCCCTTAATTCAGTCAAATATCTTCATAACATCCTCTAGCAACTGTGCTGTTACCTGAGTTTCCTCCTCATTCTTGCTTCTGCTTCTCATCCTTAATACTGTCCAAACCTTTAAGTAGCTAGATTTTATGGATTTATCCTCATTTTAACGTTGTCATGACTTACAGTCTATAAGAGGTGTACAAAATCATATCAAATTGAATTATATCCTTGGATCTCACAGATATTAGGATAAACAGGTCTCTGGCATTTTAAGATTTACTTCACAGTGTATACACAGTCACATTGCATGCACCTTAAAAGTCTGATCTTTCACCACCAAATCTTGATACTTCTCAGTCCCTTGGTCTTAACTTTGAAAATTAAAAAAAAAAAAAGAAAGAAAATTATTTGACATAGGCAATGGTGCTTCTCTTAGGTGACAATATCTTTTGAAAAAGGTTTCTGTGGTGTTCAAGAGAGAGTGGCCGGCTGTTAGCTAATCTTATACACACAGGCAATGGATACAAACTATGGCATGAGTGGTTAGCGCTTCCTTATGTAAAAGTCATCAATGAAGAACTGAGTATCCCTCTACCTCAAACTATATAGTTAAACTTTCTTTGCAGTTGTTTAAAATGAAAGGGCACATTAATTTTTCTTGACTGTGTGTAAGGACACAGGGTTGGACTATTTGACCTCTTGTGGTCATCTCCTACCTCTACCACTCCACGATTTCAGTTGCACAATGTGTAAAGACAAACTCTTCATTAGTCGGGTGAAAAGCCATAGAGCTTGAGCCAGATCTTACCGGGAGAACATCTGATCTTAGTGGGGATGCAGGATTGGAATGAGGCATATTCTACAAGGAAAATAATCACAGTGGAATACCCTGAATTTTCTTTGCTTTTTATATATTTTTTTTAGAACACAGTCATATCCTTTCTGCAAATCTTCCCTGCTCTGTTTTATTTTGAGCAAGGAATAAAATTGTTTTTCTCCTTGAAAAAATCAAATACATTTCTAACAAAAAAAATTAAGAGTATTATGAACACAAAATTATATAATTCTGATGGTTCCCATGACCCCAATAACCTCTAAAGGTATCTTTTTAAAAAGTTATTTTAGTAAAAAATTTACTTCATCTGTACAAAAGAACTTTTCCTTTTAGCATGTATATAGCAGTCAAGAGGTTATAGAGTTATACTTATGTACAAGAACTGGTTAAAAATAGTCTTAAAACAAGCGACTCAATATTCAGATTGTATGAAAATGCTGGCAGACATTGATAGAGATATAGAAATATTCTACCTGTCATATTTACCCCAAAGATACAAATGTAGGGATCCGAAGGGGTACATCCACCCCGATATTTATAGCAGCAATGTCCACAATAGCCAAATTATGGAAAGAGCCAAGATGTCCGTTGACAGATGAATGGATAAAGAAGATGTGGTATATATATACAATGGAATATTATGCAGCCATCAAAAGGAATGAAATCTTGCCATTTGCAACGATGTGGATGGAACTGGAGGGTATTATGCTGAGTGAAATAAGTCAACCAGAGAAAGACATGTATCATATGATCTCATTGATATGAAGAATTCTTAATCTCAGGAAACAAACTGAGGGATGCTAGAGTGGTGGGGGGTGGGAGGGATGGGGTGGCTGGGTGATAGACATTGGGGAGGGTATGTGCTATGGTGAGCCCTGTGAATTGTGTGAGACTGTTGAATCACAGACCTGTACCTCTGAAACAAATAATACATTGTATGTTAAAAAAAAAAAGAGAGAGAAGAAGATATTAGGAAGGGAAAAATGAAGGGGGGGATATCAGAGGGGGAGACGAACCATGAGAGACTATGGACTCTGAGAAACAAACTGAGGGTTCTAGAGGGGAGGGGGTGGGGGGATGGGTCAGCCTGGTGATGGGTATTAAAGAGGGCACATATTGAATGGAGCACTGGGTGTTATATGCAAACAATGAATCATGGAACACTACATCAAAAACTAATGATGTAATGTATAGTGATTAACATAACATAATAAAAAAAAAAGAAAAAAGAAAGCTTAAAGAAATATTCTACCTGTCAAGTGCCTAGCTCACTGAAACCCAAGTACACTATAAAATGGTATATTACAAAAGTCCTCAAAATATGGAGAAAATCTGAGATATATACAATTTTACATAAAATGTCTTAAAGTTTTACATGTGGATGCTTGCATTTGCAGCTTTCCAATTCACATTCACACAACACTCATTTTCTTAGAGCTTCCAAATAACGAAAGGTTTCATTTGTTACATCTGACAATCCAAATGCTCACTATAGGGGTAAGCATAGGAAAACTTCATTGTTATTATTCTTACCTTGAAAATAAGCAGGTATCAATGGATTACATTTTTTCATCAATACATCTTTAACCCTTTGAAGTTTTTTTTTAACGCTTTCCAGAGGTAAATAAGAACTGTTATTCCAGGGGTGCCTGGGTGTCTCAGTTGTTAAGCATCTGCCTTAGGCTTAGGTTATGAACCCAGGGTCCTGGGATCGAGCCCCGCATCGGGCTCCTTGCTCAGCGGGGGGCCTGCTTCTCCCTCTCCCATTCTCCCTGCTTACGTTCCCTCTCTCACTGTCTCTTTCTCTGTCAAAAAATAAATAAAATCTTTTTTTAAAAAAAGAATTGTTATTCCACTTAAAAGCAAAAGAGGTGCTAGAAGAAAAGTTGGTTTCATAACAGTGACCAGAGACCAAGCCCTCACCTAAAAAAAGAAAAAAAAAAGGTAGACTCAATTTTTTTAACTTTTTAACTTAATTTTTCTAAATACATAGAAACAGAGAACATAGAACAAATGAAAATAATGTGTTACAGTCTCTGTAACATAATACAGAAGTAGAGATGCAAAATTAAGAATGCAGAATGAAATTCATCTATATACTTTTCAATTGTTCTGCATTTAATCTTTTTTTTTAGTATTCCATTCCCACAATAACTTTCTTCTATTTTCTTGAATGTTAAATTTTCAGAGAAGGACAAGACTAGAGACCAGTTAAGATGAAAAGACTCAATCAAAGAGAGGTTAACATTCAAAGGAATAAGGGGTTTGTTTTTTGTTTGGTTTTTTTTTTCCTATTTCGGTGGTTTAGGGCATAATAGAAAGTAAAGTTTGAGCATATTAGAATTAGTTTCAAGGCAATAGAAATTGTCACATGGCAGACAGAGTAATAAAATATTTGTTACTTCTCCATTATCTAGCATAGTATTCTCACTTTTTTAAGTGCTATGCTTCCCATGTTCATGACATGAGCAGACAGCCAGGCAGGAACAGAAGTTGGCTGCGGGAGGCCACAAAATATGAACAATGTTGGCTGACTGATAGGTACATTGTGCTAAGCCCTTTTGAATGCATTAGCTCATTCTGTGTTCCATACAGCTCCACAAAGTCAGCGTTATTACTTTATTTTATAGATAAATACAATCTCAGCCTAGTTAAATAACTAACCTAAATTACCTATAAATTACTTATAAGTTAGAGGGCTGAGATTTGAATCCAGAAATGCCTGAAAACAAAAACCATGTCTTCTTCCAAGTAATCAAGGGGAGATACTGGAAGAAAGAGAAGTATGTAGGTATGTGACAGCGGTGGGGGGGGGCATTGCCTTTTGAAGAAGAGTAGGAAAAGGAAGGTTGATGGTTGAGTTCCAATATAGTGTGGTCACTTATAAGTACTATTTCTAAAACATTGTCCTTATTTGAATAAGAAGTCAAAATATGTTCTTAAGTATTTGTTATAGAATTAAGAAGCCTGAAAGAAGAAAAAGTGCACTGTGAATTGAAATGAGAAAAGGCAGGTCTCTTATTGATTCTTCACTCTAGGAATCTCATTAGCTATCAGATGGAATTTGATGACTGCCAACAAATAAACAACATTTTCCCAGATTCCAGGCTGTTAAACTGCTCATAGCCACCAAATACAGATTAGTCTGAAATGCACTGATTGTTCCTGCTGGAGGTGGTTAAAATATCAGCTGTGGATACAAGAATTCTTTTTCTCTCTTTCCTTCAGGCTGCTAATGGATGCACAGAATGAAACTTATTTTAAAAGCTGGTATCAGAAGCTGTTGGCTGCTCTCCAATTCTGTTCAGGAAAAGCCTTGAGTGATGAGTTTTCCAAGGAGAAGAAACTTATTAAAATTCTGGGAGACATCGGGGAAAAAGTCAAGTCTGCCAGTGACCCTCAAAGACAGGTTTGTTGAGAAATTAATCTTCATGTAGTGTTTTCTTTAATCTCTTGTTCAATTAAATTTTAATTTCATAGCTTAGAAAGCAGATTCATTGTCTATACTTAGTTATAAGACACCCAACTCAAATACTTTAATCAAGATTTTTTTTCAATTTACAATCTTAATGATAATGTCTACCACAAGGACATGTTTTTTTAAGATTTGTGAGAGAAAGAGAGAGAGAGCACAAGCAAATGGTGGGAGGAGCACAGGGAGAGACGGAGAGGAAGAGAATCTCCAGTGGACTCTCCACTGAGTGTGGAGCCCAATATGTGGCTCAATCTCATGACCTTGAAATCATAACCTCAGCCAAAACCAAGACTTGAATGCCTAACTGACTGAGCCACCCAGGTACCCCAATATAGTTTTTTGATCTAAGTAGCCATGCAGCATATGGAGAGTACCTGACAAGAAGAAATAAACTTAAAGGCAGTTTGGTTAAAAAGACCAGATGAAGTAATTTCCTTAAAATGGCAGCACAACTCACACTAGTAGAAGTCCAGAGGGGACTTTTTAGGGTACTCTTGTCCAAGGTACAAAATCGAGGTCTAGATTTTTCTAACACTACACTAATCAAAATAAAGACTTTTTTAGCAAAACAATTAATTAAATTAAGCAAATCAATAGTGGCGTGGATAGTAAAATTTTTATACTAAGATCCATGAATGATAGTCAAAATATTGTGCGTTTTTCATCGCTGATTATAATAACGGACCTGGCTTTTTCTTGATCTGATTGAAGAATATTTGTTCTTTTTAATTATCTGCATCACTAGTTTCCCTCACTGATACAGACCACTAAGCAGGTTCTCTTACGTTCAGCATTCTAGATGCAGGGAGATAGTGGGCATCTATCCATTGTATTAAAAACATCATTCAGGAACAATTAAGTACTTACAGACTGGGAGTTAAGGATGGAAAGATGACTAAAACATGAATTCTGTCCTCAAAGGGAGCACATAGTTTCTCTCCACCCACTGTCTAAAATCAAAAAGAGTTTTCAACATAATAATATAGAAACATTGACAGGCAAATTGTCCCAGAATTCTTTCCCAGCCCAGTATTTTTCTTGCTCGAAGTCATTCATTAGGTAGAAATGCCAGAAGCTATAGCCCTTCACCTATATAGGAATAAATAGGAAATAAAAAGCATAAGCATGGAATTTATTCTTAAATGGGAAACATATAAACTCTAGATTGACAGAAAAACCATAAGATAAATAATATGATGAGCAATTAAAAAAAAGCTTCTATAATTTCTTCATATTACTGCAGATTAATTTTTCTAGTGATAGAAAAAAATGAAAGCAAGTAAATAAGCTGGTTTAAAATTTATAAAATTTATGTATGGGTTTAGACTTTATTTCTTAGATTTTAAAATTCCTCATATATTTGAGATGCATACTACAGTTAAATAAGTCTGATGACTTTTTGACTATTTACATTAAGTTCCAAAGAGCTATTGACATTATTCTTTCAAATAAATATATTTCTCTCACCTAGATGTTTTTGTGATAACACTTCTTCACATAAAAATAAGAAAATAAAAATAAAGAGATGAAAGAAGCATTTACAATTTCGCACAATTCAAGTTACTGTTAGCTGTTTTCTCTATTTCATTTGAAAAAGTACTATTTAGTGTTGTACAGAAGTGTTGAATCACTATATTGTACACCTGAAACTAATATTACACTGTATGTTAACTCACAGGGATTTAAATAAAAACTTAAAAAAACCTTTTTAATAGATAATTCATAATTCTGCAAACCTACTTATAAATTTATGTCTGCTTATTCTGATAAAGGCTAGAATGTTTAATATATTAAAATTGCCTCCTTGATTATTTTTCTTCAGATTCCTATAAGTTATTTCTTTATACATTGTTTTTCTCTGCTGTTTACTATTAAACCATGTCATCTCATCAAAAATAAAATAAAATAAATAAAAAGTACTAATTAAACTGTGTGAAAGAAGATATCTTTCCACCTTGCTCTTCTGGATTCTGGGAGCAGTAGTTTCTATTATTTGCCAATGATCCAGGAGTAAGACCTAAGAAACTCTTGGGAGTTAATTAAACATTATTAATCTGATACCTCATTTTTAGAATTGGACTTAAAGAGTTTCTGAAAGTGGGCTAAAAGAAGCTCTTATATTTTTAATTATTGTTTTTCTGCTCTTTTTGTTAGGGGATACACAATTTTAAAGGTGTTGTTTGTGGTTTCAGACCTTCCACAGGTACAGAAAACTATGGCAGGGAGTGAGGCAAGTATCAGGAATATACTCATTGGCATTTAGTAAACCATTTGTTCAAATATATTGCTATTTCTGACAATTGTCATTTTTGCCATTATTGCTGTTAGTATATGTGAATTTTTTTCTGAAATGTACTATCACTATTAAGTATAAACCTTGAGGGTTACAAACTAAGATTCCAGGAAATTATCAGAATTGGATCGTGTCAACAATTACTTAAAGCAGGTATTGTAAGACGGTGGGCCTCAAATCATAGCCAACCCATCATGTTTTGTTTGAACAGAATAGTTGGTTTTGGTTTTGCTTTTAATTGAATTTAAGATCCTGTAGAAAAGACATGAACCCTTTAGTTCCCCATTTCCCCCAACACTCCCTGTTATTTTTAGCACTCTGCTTCCTTATATGTGGCTACATCACCTACTTGACCCCAAAGCATCCAAGTGTGCAACCCCTGAATTAAAGAGTTTATTTAATCAATAGAAGAAAATTATAACTTGAAAGAAAGTCAAGTTCTTTACAGTTTCTAAAATGCTTTTTCAAATGATTTTTTCACAGGAGGTACTAAAGAAAGAGATTGGCAGACTAGAAGAATTCTTTCAGTGTATAAAGACCTGCCACCTTCCTCTGAACCCTGCCCTGTGTATAAAGGGTATTGATCGTCATGTAAGTCAGTTTATTTAGTACGTAAGTTGAGTATTTTTGTTTTGTATTGTTTAATTCACTATATGTTTTTGAAATGGCAAAAACAATTTGTAAATTGTCATTGCAAGTATTTGAAGAAAAAAGTAATTGAATCCTATCCAAACTAAGTGCTGCATTTGATGCACTGTGTGAGGTTGAGATTGCACTGGCCTCATCACTTGATTTGTTGGTTTAGAAATAAACTATCAGTTCAGTAAAAATAAATATAAATAAATAAATAAATATACTTCTCACTAAATTAATTTCTCAATTTTTTCAAAATGGTTGATTTGGTGACCTTAAGCAGGCTGGTTTTAGTTTCATGCTTATTTAGATTATGTGCATACCCATGCTTAGTACACTAGGATATTATGAGTTACAACACTTCAGTTTTTATTTAATTTAAAATTCACTGAAACTCATGTGTCAGTGTACCATATAATATATTTTGTGATTTTACTTATGCCTGGAGTGACCTTCCTGGCATCAGAAACAATTTCTTTCTCTTCTTAAGCCTCTGTCAGTCACACTTCTCTAACTTAGAATCATTCTTTCTCCTTTTATCTCCATTAACTTTATTAGCCTCCTTCTCAAAAGCCCAAGAGTAGAAAGCACTAATAGAAGAAAGATTGGTAAGTGAGACTCAGAAGTGAAGAGGTTAAACTATCATGCATGCACAATAAATGTTACTTGACTGACATTATAATATAATCAAGAAAACCTAATAATTAGGAGAAAAACTAGACCTTTATTAGTATGAATATAAAAAGTTTTGCTAAAAAGTTGGTACTATTATGTTTACAACTTTGCTGCCTCAGGCTGAGGGTCACCAGCTCAGGAGTCACCACCCCTAGCACTGTAGCTGGGACCACACTCCTTTTCTATACCTACCTGCAGACAGTGGTACTTTCTTTGAGTCTGGAAAGTATGCCAAGTAAAGCTCCCTCTTTGCTCCATTTGCTCTGGCCAGCTGTGCCTGGCACAATGCTGGGCACCTGTGTGTAGAGCAATAAACAGGGCAGATGTGGCCAGGTGACACTCTACCCTGGGGAACATTTTAGTCCATCCTACAGTCCTGCCAAACAAGGAAGTCTGAAGGAACATACATCACATCTGAAGATGTGGTGAATGTGGCAAGGTTTCAATCAGAGCCTGCATCAGAGGATCCAAAAGAAAAGAGCCTCTAAGAGTGTAATGAGTATGATAAGACATTTAGAGAGACCTCTCAGTCAATGGTTCTTTTGAGAATCTACTAAGCGGGGAAGACCCATGAATGCAGCAAACATGGGAAGATCTGTCATCACTACTCCCATCTTATTCAATATCAGAGATTCCATGTGCATACCCATGCTTAGTACACTAGCATGTAAAAAACTTATAAATGTGCTTTATGCATAAAAATCTTCACGCAGCGTTCCCTACTCATTGACTCTCAAATAACTCATCCTCGGGAGAAGACATAAATTTCATGAGTGTGGGAGGCTTTCATTCAGAGTAAAATCCTTTTCTAATATCAAGTACTTCACATTAGTGAGAAACATTACAGTTGAAATGAGTGTGGGCAAGCTCTCTGTTCCAACAGAAACCATTTTGACCCCCAGAGAATCCATACTGATAAGAAGCCTTAAGTATAATGAACATAGTAAGGCCTTCAGTCAGGATAAATGTCTTATTTGACATCAGAGCCTCCACACTAGGGAACAATAATAATGCAGGCAGTATGGAAAAGGCTTCAGTCAGAACTCAACCTGTTGGCTATGAGCAAATTCATACCAGAGAAAAACATTTAGAACACAGTGTGGCAAGATAATCAGTCAGAGTAAATGTTTTATTTTATGTCACCTGACTTCACACAAGCAAAAAACCCCTTAAGTATGGAAAATATGCAGTCAAGACACACATTTCATTATATAACAGAGAATTCACACTGGTGAAAAATCCTATGAATGTGATAGGTGTGGGAAGGTCTTTGGTGATAGCACCAAGCTTACGATGTCAGAGAACCCATCTGGGGAGAAACTTTAGAAATGCAATGATTGTGGGAAAGCCATTAGTGAGAGTGCACAGTTTATCATGCATCAGAGAGTTGATACTGGAGAGAAGCCCTATGAAGATAGTGAGTATGGGAAAGCCTACAGTCAACATTTTGTTTTAATCATCATCAGTAAATTACACTGGGGAGAAGCACTCAGGCCAATCCCCTTCTTAAAGGGTGGCTCTCCAAGATAAAGGGCAAAGGTCTTAGCTTTGAGTTAAACCTTCTTTCAAAGAATTTTCACCCTTGTCTCTCCTTGGAACCACTAATTACAATGGACCATTTCCTATTTTCCTTTGGATCACTAGGGAATGGACCATTTGGGAAAGTGGTTGTAACTTACTGCAATCCTCCTCCACTCCTGGGAAAGTAAGAACCACACACTTCATTTACAAATAGGTTTCTTTCCTTTTTTAAAACTATTTTAAATCTATGTCATTAGTGTATACGTCTCAAGAACAGGGGTCATATCTTTCTTTCTCTATTCCATCTCTTCTTATATTTTTTTCTCTATTCCAGCTCTTTTATCTCACCATTTACATAAAATTATCTTCCCAGACTCCAACTCATTCTTTCCTGTCTCCTGGTTGTGGTCCTTGCAATCCATTTTTAACATCTAATCTAAATTCTCATTGTTTGCCTTTCCCTACTTAGAAAGCATTTTTTTAAACATTTTTGCTAATCTTTGCTAATTTCTGTCTTTCCCAATCTTCAAATCCAGCTCATCTCTGGAAGACTTCTCTTCTTTAAGTGCTTCTTCATTCAACTGTGATAAATGGCCTTGTAAATTATTTTCAACTTAATACATATGTGTTTGTGTTCATACCAACTTTCTGTAGGCTCTTGGAGAGTAGATATGATATCTCTGATATCACATAGATAATGGTTTGTGCATATTAGTTGTCAAATATAAAATATTTTTGACATGATCTCAAAAAGTATACTGCATGTGGAAACCAAAATATAAAACAATGAAAGCAAAATAGATCCGAGTGAGGTAATTAAGAAGGGCTAAGCCTTGTCTTCATCCTCCCTTTGCCCTTTTTCTCTTCCCTGGACTTGGGATGCCTCAAAGAGACCCCCAAGAATTGGATGAGCACAGTTTGAAAACCACTGATCTAGACTCATTTCTGCCCTAATACAGGATTTCCCAATTCAGTACCATGACAGAAGGTCTTATGTTCCCTGATTGATCCTTGAAGCCAAGAATTCATTACTTAACAAGCAGCCTCACCCATTTATTATAAATCTCAAACTGCTCGAGGTTTTGATTTGGATTTCCCTGTTGGCGGGGATGCAGAGAAAGGGGAACCCTCCTACACTGTTGGTGGGAATGCAAGCTGGTGCAGCCACTCTGGAAAACAGTATGGCCATACAACCCAGCAATTGCACTACTGGGTATTTACCCCAAAGATACAAATGTAGGGATCCGAAGGGGTACGTGCACCCCAAAGTTTATTGCAGCAATGTCCACAATAGCCAAACTATGGAAAGAGCCAAGATGTCCATTGACAGATGAATGGATAAAGAAGTGTTATATATATACAATGGAATATTATGCAGCCATCAAAAGGAATTAAATCTTGCCATTTGCAACGATGTGGATGGAACTGAAGGGTATTATGCTGAGCGAAATAAGTCAATCAGAGAAAGACATGTATCATATGATCTCACTGATATGAGGAATTCTTAATCTCAGGAAACAAACTGAGGGTTGCTGGAGTTGTGGGGGGTGGGAGGGATGGGGTGGCTGGGTGATAGACATTGGGGAGGGTATGTGCTATGGTGAGCGCTGTGAATTGTGTGAGACTTTGAATCACAGACCTGTACCTCTGAAACAAATAATACATTATATGTTAAAAAAAAAAAAAGAAGAAGAAGAAGGAGAAGATAGCAAGAAGGGAAAAATGAAGCGGGGGGAATCAGAGGGGTAGATGAACCATGATAGACTACGGACTCTGAGAAACAAACTGAGGGTTCCAGAGGGGAAAGGAAGTGGGAGGATGGGTTAGCCTGGTGATGGGTATTAAAGAGGGCACACACTGCATGGAGTACTGGGTGTTATACGCAAACAATGAATCATGGAACACCACATCAAAAACTAATGATGTAATGTATGGTGATTAACATAACATAATAATTAAAAAAAATCTCAAACTGATTCAGTAATCAATGGTTTCTCTTTGCTTAGGGATTAGGTTAGATTTCTGTTGATAGGTTAAGTTAAAAAATATATATATCCTTTCCTCTCTACTTCTACCAATTTCAGACTTCTCAAAAAATAATGATTTTCAAACTGATCCTTCAACATGTATTGATGTCATATTTTACTAAGATGATAAATTGAAACCATCAAGTTCTTTTCCTTTATTTAGTATTGATTTAACTCTTCACTGTCAACAGAAAGTCTCTAATAACCTAAAGACATACAACCTTTTAGCACTCAAACAGCTGTAAGAACATAAAAGGAAAATAAGCAACAAGGAAAGTATAATGGAAAGTAGTCAATATCATAAAGCTGAAAATGGAAATGCAAAGTATAACTGAAAGAAAGGAAAGGAGGAAACATATGTTGTACTATTTGTAAAGGTAAGAAAATGTTCATTAACAAAAAGAGAAAAAGAATGCATTATTATTTTTTTTTTGGAGTATCTAATTAGTGTCAGGCACTGTACTGTGGAAGGTCTTTTATATCTATTAGCCCATATATCTATTACAAATATATTTGAGACAGGTGTTATTATCCCCATTTTATAGTGGGATACAAATATTTAAGCAGCTTGCCCAAGGTCTTGCAGTTAGTAAGTTACAAAGTTCAAATTTGAACTCAGTCTTTCTTAACCATACATCCATATTTCCTTAATGTATTCTGCAGGGAAGAAATAATTAAAAGCAAATCAATTTTTGAATAGCAATTTTATCTTTTAGATATTAACTGTCATAAACACAATGCCTACGTACTACTTAGTTTATTTAAATCCCCAACATTTCATCACTGTTCAGTGAGAAAAAAGAGTAGAAGCTGCCAAGAAGCTGGATTTTCAGTTTCTAAGTAAAGGCTTTGGTTAGTAGACTGAAGTTGTTTAGTTGTTGTTTTTAATAAATGTGTTTCTTTGTTCCAAAGTGTAAAAATTATTCATATGTGTTACATTTGCTTATATAACAAATTATGCGAAAGGCCCATGATTTCAAGGAAAGTGTTCTTTTTGCTTTATCTTGCTCACCATTTTTCTCTTCCTTTTCTATAGGCATGTTCATATTTCACATCTCACGCTTTGCCATTGAAGATTACTTTCATCAATGCTAACCCAATGGGCAAAAACATCGGCGTCATTTTTAAGGTACAAAAACATCAAATTGATTTCACAGGTAGAATTATTGATTTATTTCTTGCAAAAAGAAATTATTATAGGTATTTTCCTCTGACAACAAAACAGAGGATTCCAGTTATTTTTGATTCTGCATTTTTACAGAATTATAGTACATGTCAAACAATGATTGATGATAAATCAATCATTACTGGCTCAAGCTAGTGAACCTTCAGTGAAAAACTTAAGAAGATATGTTTCAATAAATGAAATTATACACTTTTGAGTAGCACAGAAAGTGGAATGTGTGGTGAACCCCTAGTGAGTTTTTCTTTGATTTAGATACTAATTAAAATCAATATTAACTAAAATTCAAATTATATGTTAATTTAACATAAAATTCTTATCTGCAGTCACTTGCTTATTTTAGGAATTTGGATTATTTTCTTCTTTTCAAATAAATAGAGGCCAAGTCCGTCTTTATCATGAATCCCATAGGAAAGTAGAGTAAAATGTAGTAACAGGGGTATAGACAAGTAGGAAAGAGGGACCAAAGAAGAAGCTGTGAGTGAAAAGGAAGACTTTAGAGCCATTCAGTTAACTTAATCAAGTATTCAGCCAAACCAGATAATCAGGTCTCAGAGTGATTTATTTGGTGGATTTTGACTATTTTTGAGGATAATTTTTAGCACACCCATACTTTGGCTTTGACCTGTGTAACTTCAAGCATTAATGGCCACAGAACAGCACATTTTGGGTGAAGAAAAAAAAATACCACAAATTTCATCTTGGAATATTTTTTTGCATATAATTTAGAAAACATTTTCAAAACCAAACCTGTTAGTTTAAAAGCAGAAAACTAACCTTCCCCTTTGGATATATTCCATTTCCTTCACCTATGCTAGAAAATCACCCCTTAATCATTTCTTATTATCAAAGGCTGTTTACTCTGAAAACTTTTTAACCACCTTCATAATATAAGAAGTCAATGATTTAAAGTCAGATGAATCCTATGTGTGCTATTTATACTCTTAGTCAAGAAGCTCTTGGTATTCTAACTGTATATCAGCATATACATTTATGGCATACCAAATAATGTCTTAGTTAGAAATCTCTCTTGGTTGAGTTTAAAATTTGAATAAACATTCATCAAGCCTCTCTTCACTAGATTTTGAATCTAAGATATTGTACGTGGATGATAAATTAGAAGATTATTATCAGCGAACAACAGTCCAAGCAACTTCTAATTTGATGGCTGAAGCTTCTGTAATCATTTAAAAGAAAGTTCTTATTTTCTTTAATCTTCTCTCAGAAACACAAGGTGTTCTTAATACTAACAAAACAATTGAAACCATCTTAAGTTGGGCTGGAAATGTATTGGAGGAAAGAAATGACATATACCATATTTGAAGGCCTTTAATGGAATTCAAAGAGAAACCTAGAGTCTATAATTTTGTTTTTAACAGGCCGGAGATGATCTTCGTCAGGATATGCTTGTTCTGCAGATTATTCAAGTGATGGACAATATTTGGCTGCAGGAGGGCTTGGATATGCAAATGATCATTTATAGATGTTTATCCACAGGAAAAGGTCAAGGTCAGTATAGATTAGAAAGTGATTTGACTTACATTATTTATCTCAAACATTCACTGGTAACATGACACCAAACTTTCCACAGCCTTCATTTTAGACTATAAATTTTAAAGTCAAAAGAACTATACAAAGTCATTCTTCTTTCCTAAAAAGAATTATTTTCAAAAGTGGTAAGTCAAAGTAATTTAGAATGTCAAAGAATGTAATGTCTTTTTTGATATTAATTAGGATTTTGACAATCCAAATGTTAACTGTGGTATCTTTTTGTGTGTCTTTTGTATGTTTTTTCTCTTTTTTAAAGATAATAACAGAAAAGCTTATTCATTGAAAAAAATTCAATTGTTGCCTATTAACACAAAATTCACAAAGTTGCAAATGTTTAAATTAGTTCTGAACATTCTAAATATATTATAAATCTGCATTTAATTTCTAAAAGACCTTTAAATAAATCATAATATCAGTAGTCAATGATGTCCAAACATGCAAATTTTGAGCATACTTTTTTTCTTTATAAAAGCCAAGATGTTAATATGGAAATATAATTACATTTATACACATTTTCAATGAAAGTAATGTCGGTGGTCCACCCAAATTATTACCATCACAAATAAAAGTTGTACTTAATTACAATCATGCTAAATTGAAGAAATAATTCCCAAAATACTTTATAATCTTTTTTGAATGTGGTCACTGCCACTTAGAATTTCATTCAACTAATTGGTAGGATAGCAAATACATCTGCATAAACAAAAGGATAAAAAAAAATCATAGAACTAGAAAAGGGACCTAGAACCATGTAGTTGTTGTTGTTATTCAGGTAGGGCTACAATTTAAACCTAACAGAAAAACTATCACTGTCTGCCCCCCAGTTCCTGAGGTCCCACCACAAGCCTCAGTATCCCAGCCAACTGTGACTTGAAATTTTAGAAGCTAGGTATGGAAGTACCTCCGTGTTAGGTTAACTTGCAACCTGACACTTCAGGATGACTCTATTATAGGTCATACTACCCAATTATTTTGATTCTGATAATAGGGCTCTTGCTTCCATGACAAGTACCCACCCCTAAACCCTTTCTAGAGCTCTATTTCCTAAAAGAGTCTTTATCATTTCTACTCAAATTGTTATTCCTTCCATTTACTCTCCTTTTTCTTACATAAAGTAAACTATTTCTTTCAAATCCTAATTATTGAAAGACTAAGAATAAAGCTAGATGAGCCAAACTGAACTTTTTGATGTCACATGGATTATCTTTTCTTCAGAGATTGAATACATCACTGACCTCAGTGGAATTCTTCAATTGCATGTACTCATTTCTCAGTTTCAAATTATAGAATGTAACAGAAGCTAAATCTTTTAAAGTTAATAAAACGACTCAGCAAAAATGAATGTAGACTTACCCAAAGTTGCAGATGTCATAAGACAAACAAGCTATTAATCCCTCCTATCTACCAACAATCTTCTGTAGTTGTTAAGATTTGAAAGGGCATTATACTGGAAAAATACTTCTTCAAGAAAAATAGAAATCATTAAAGCAAACATCATGTTTAGAAGATCAGGTTCCATTTTTAATATGCTTCCAAGGCTTATTGAATATCTATTGTTTTCAAGAAATATCACAAAGTAAGTTAAGGAATACTAAGATGAGCTAAACAGAGTTGCTACCCATAAAGGAGAGTATATTCCAGGCCGGAAGTTTGCATGACTTTATCAACATTATTGTTGATTATAATTCTCATGACTAGAGGGGAGGAGAAAGGTGGCAGAGGAGTAAGAGACATAAATTTCGTCTGGTCCCAGGAATTCGGCTAGATAGGGATCAAACCATTCTGAACACCTACAAACAGGAGATCGAAGAAAAGAATAGCAGCAACTCTCAGAACAGAAAAGCAACCACTTTCTGGAAGGTAGGACGTGCAGAAAAGTGAATCTGAGGTGATATTTGGGAAGATAGACAGTGGGGAGAGGGAGCCTCCATCATCCACTACCAGCAAGCAATAGAGCCACGGAGCACAAAATCAGAACTTTGAGAAGTCTGCTCCGCTGAGGGACGTCGCTCCCATGGCTAAGCGGGAGGTGGAACCCTCGCTGGGACAGTGTGGTCTCAGGACCCTTGGGGGGCAGAAAGACTGGGGGTGCCTAAGTGTGGCAGAGCTCCCAGGTATTGGAGCAGGGAAGCCAGTTGCAGAGACGGAGCTGAGGAGTGGGCTCTCAGCTAGGGGTTGCCATAAGCTGTAATCCACGGCACAGTTGGGCCACTGCTCTTCCAGCAGGGACCCAAGAAGTGACAGATCCGGGGAGACTCCCCTTTCTCTCCGGGGAGGAGCAGCGCAGGAGTGCACTGCAGGAATCTGCTGGGTTTGGAGACTCCACCCGGAGTTGTGTGCCAGAGATAGAAATGCTCAGTCACAGGCCAGGTGAGCATGGAGTGCGGCCAGAGTCTGGGGAGACTGGAGTGATTGACTACTTTTCTCTGGGGCTCACTGAGGAGTGGGGTCACGAGTTCTTGGCTCCTCAGTGCGAAGAATGGGAGGCTGCCATTTTCAGTCTCATCCTCCAAAGCTGTGCGGAAAGCTTGCAGGGAACAAAGGCTCCTGAGAGCAAGCCTGAGCAGATTACTTATCCCGGACCGGCAAAGGCAGGGCAATTCCGCCTCTGACAAAGACATTTGAGAACCAAGGCAACAGGCCCCTCCCCCAGAAGATCGGCAAGAACAGCCAGCCAAGACCAAGTTTACCAATCAATGAGAACGGCAGAACGCCAGCACTAGGGGAATAAAGCACATAGAACTCATGGCTTTTTTCCCATGATTCTTTAGTCTTTCAAAGTTAATTTTTTTTAATTTTCTTTTTTTCTTTTTCTTTTTTTTTTTGAATTTTTCTTTTTCCCTTTTTCAACCAATATCTTATCAATCCCTTTTTTAAAAAATCTTTTTTATTTTTCATTTTTAGAGTCATAGTCTATCCCTTGATAGTAGTTAACCTTATTTTTGGTATATATATATAAGTTGTTCTCTCTTTAAAATTTTGAAATACAGTTTCTTCTAATGGA